GGGGCGGCGGAGCCGCTCCGGCAGCACGGGCAGCGCCGCCGCCGTCGCCCGCCCTCCCCGCGCCGAGGCTGCCCGCGGAATGAGCGGCCCCCGGGCGGCTGCCGCTGCCGCCTCCACTCGGGCTCCGGCGGGCGAGCAGAGAGCGCGGCTGCCGGCGCGGTCGCTGCGGCGGGAGCGGAGTGAATGACCGAGGGGAGCGGCGCGGAGAGGCAGCCCCGGGATCAGAATGCGGGCGCCCGCCAACATCCTCAACCTCCTGCTGCTGTCCTTGCTGGCCGGGCTCGATCCCTCCAAGGTAGGAGCCGGACGGGCGAGCCCCGCCGACGGCAAGTTCGCCCGGCGCCGCGGAGCAAAGGCGAGGCGGTACCGGCCCGCAGACGGCGGGGGATGCTGCTCTGCCGGGCGGCCCGAGGGCTCCGGGGAGAGGCGGGTGCGTGTCCTTGGCTGTCCGATGGGCCAGGCCGGGAGAGTCGGTGGCGGAAACGTCGGTTCCCGCTCCCGGGGATTACCGGCTTCAGGGTGCGCGGCGGGGAAGCGCGGATGCGAGCGATCGGGGGGGGTTACGGGCGCGGACGGGCTGCAGAGGGGCCCCGGCGCGCAGAGCCCGCGTACCTTCCGCGCTCTCCTGGCGGCCCCCCGGCAGCCCCCCAGGCAGAAGTTGTACCCGCTGCGTAGGGAAGAGATGGGCAGCGGGAGCGTCGGGCGGCCGGGGCTCACCCGCTGCTCACGGCCGGTACCTGTCCGGCGACACCACCAGCTGCTTCTCCCCCTCAAGGCAAAAGCGGCGTTTATAGCGCTCGGTGACCGCACCGGTTGTGGGGAAGCAGCTACTCACTGGCAGCGGGGACCGACAGCCTTCGACTGGAAATAAATGTGTTTAGAGTGGAAGCGGCGGCATCACGTGAAGGCGCCGGGTTCAGTGCTGAGCCGCGCTCCAGGCTGCTGCACAGTTCTGCTATTTTCAAATGTCTACGTGTCACCAAAAGATCACATCCGATATTGAAGTAATGATAAAAATAAACAATGTTTTAGCCATGCAACCTTGCTGGTGAAGGTGATTTTAGATTAAATTATCAAAAAAAAAATCAGGATTGCACTACACCACTTAAGAGCAATAATGAGTGAACCCTCCTAGGCCTGCAGATGTCTATAGTGCTGCATCTTACAGAGGCAGAACTTGTCTCATCTGCCTTTTTGTGACACGCAATCTTGTAACTGTGAGCATTATAAAAACGTAACGAGAGAGAAACATTCTTACAGTATTGCAGTCTGGTAACCGGCAGTAGTCCATACCATGTTGCCACAATTTATATTGTATGTTGGTGAATGTCATTTTAACGATAACGTTTTGGTGCCAGACAACCTTATGAGGCAATGTTCAGCTCTTCCTTTAAAATAAAGGGGTTTTTCCTTTAGAATAAAGACATTAATCACCTAAATTAATCATATATAAATATGTACTGAATTTCCAACAATATGGAAGCTATATTCCTCTTTAAAAACATAAAGATTGAACTTAAAAAGCAATTCAGTGGAAATTTGATTTACAGCTGCAGTATTGTGACTGCTTTTTAATCAGTAAGGTACAGTGACAACATAAAAAAGCAGGAGCAATACAGGATTAATAACATTAGCTAGATAATTAATTACATCAATATTATTAAATAGGAGCTATTTGAAAGTATCAGCTATTGCTATGTCTGTAAAGAGACTCATCAGGCAGCACAAAGAAATTCCACATCTGTGTGAGTAACAGCACATGGTCACGTCACATTATAATTACAGGTTCCCACACACTCATTTTTCTTTATTATTCTATCTTGTGTTACACTTAGTCAGATCTATTAAGTTAAGAGACTTCAAGAGACTGTGTGAAAGCAAGAAAAGCAAAGTTCCTATCGCTGTCTATCCACAGAATAGTAAAACCACTAATGGAGCAAATGAGCTTCAGCTGGCAGAATTATTTTTTTCATTCACGTGTCAGAGATATGCCCCAGAATAACAGTGGGAAGAAATGCTCCATCTTATGTGCCTGTCACCATCCAGCACTGAAAAGCAGGATGAGCCACTGGAATGAAATAGCATAAATTAACTTTTGAAACTTTGCTTCTAGCCCTTTTTACTGTGGCATACTGTGCAGAGGGCATAAAAATGGCCTTTTATTCATCACTCTGTGTGACATTTTCAGGGATATTAAAATGTTCATTGCAGGCTCTTTTAACTTTGTGAAGGGGTCATGAGCCAGAAAGCTCGAAAGTCCTTAAGATTATGTAAAAATAAGAGCCCTTAATCAAAGTCTGGTGTTTAACAGAGCTAAATTGGGTATTCAGAAATAAAAACATGAGATCAAATGGTTACTCAGATCCTTGGTTAAGATGCTGCACCACATTAAGCACAAAAAAGATGCTACATGTCAGATAATCATTTAGGGTTTTTTGACTATAAACAACAGATTTCATATTTCTGTGAAAAATTATCTATGTAAAAATATTTACAGGTTTTTTTAGCAAATAAATACAAGTTGTGACTGAAATCTCACTTTAGAAATGGAAGCAGTGCTCAGTTATTTATCTTGCTTTATGCTAAATTGAAATGGAATACTAATTTTCTGCCCTGTAGGTTGGGAAGCAAATATATGAAATTAATTGTAGGAAACAAGGGGATGATAAATTCTTTTACAAAAAGAGTATGTTCATGACTAGACATACAACTTTTTACATGTCCTTGACACTCACAAACTGTTCAGCTTATAAAAATGAATCACATCAGATATTTCAAAGTATATGCAATACATTCCTATTCCTGTCCTACATAATTAATATTCAAGTAATAACTTATTTTACTGATCAACTACTTTAAAATAATGCCTGAGAAAAAAAGCTTTGATTTAGTACCAGGCCATCACTGACTCAAGACTGCTGTCCTCTGGCACCCTTATTATGACAGGGCTTTTATGTGAAACTTACTAGGATATTTACTCATTGTAAAGTGCTTAAGCATCGCCATCTTATGGTAAAATATGTAACAAAATATACATATAGTTTATTCTTAAGTTTCTGGAACATTAAGATTTTGTTTCAACCACAGTAATTTATTGCCCATGCTTTTTTATTTCTTCTTAGATTTTATGCTAAACACGGTATAGAATATTGACCAGTTCTAGAAATTGTTCTTTACTAAATAGAAGACAGCTCACTACTAATTAATTTTAAACACTCTTAGCGCTAATTAAAAAATATCAATTTTAAGACATACTTAATGTTATATCTGTTAATTTGATTCTAATTTTTCTCTGCATTTACACAGAAAATACAAGAAATTATAACATATTTCAGCAAAGTGTTAGCAGGGTCGCTAGATATTCAGCAGGAAGCCAGCTATAGGGAAACAACTTGGAATATAAAAATATTTCCTTTCTCCTACACTTAAGTCCAGTATCTTGAAAGAAGGAACTATTAAATATTAGGAAATTTCTAAGAGTTACTGCTAGATGGCATCTCTGTGCTGCTTTTCTGCAAGCCTGGAGTTTCCTGTAATGACCTTCAAAGTAAGTCCACTTTACATACTTTATAAGGATTGCTTTTGCTGGACATCATTTAATAATCACACTAGTATAATCAAGAAAGCATTTTATAGTGGTGTAATGCTGCTCCACATACAAATCAAGTTCATCAGGATTCAAAGTCTAGATGGCATTTTTAAAGTTTAATTTTGAAAATTTAAGTAGATATGAAAAATACGTTCATTTTTCAATGCAGTTAATGAACGTAATGTCTTTAAACTTTTATAATGACTGTATGTCCTACATCTGTTGGGTGTCTGCTTTTTGAATTTTACAAAAAAACGTTTCAGAAGAAGACTACCAAGTACAATCCCAAACAGAAGCTGCTCGGGATAACAGGATATTTGGGAATAATAACATTAAAAAATAAAAGCAATTTTGAAACCAGTCATCCATTTTGGAATGCTTAATCACACTTTGCATTTTGATCTTTGGCATGGCTGTGTTTCTAGATTTTAAAAATCTATAATTTTCACATATAATCAGACTATAAAACTAGCCACTAAAATCTTTCTTTTTACCAGATTTCAAGAAGTGGTGCACTGCTTTAATGCTGCTTTGCACTACAAATTAATTCATCCTATTGTGAGATTTTGTAACAAGAATACTATGTACAAGCGAGGGTTACCATCATACAGTGTTTTTGTTGGAAATAAGATTCACAGTATTACGATACACTGCAAAATTAAATGGGAAACTCATTAGCTACTCGGAAATTAATTTATCCTGTTTCTTACAGGATTAGTAGTTACTCAATAGAGAAATCGTATATAATTATTTAGCCTGCATGATTTAAGAATGCTCTAAATCATTAACTGCTGCATGCGGTCAGCTCTCACCCTGGTGTCTGGTCTCCCATTTCTGAGCAACATGATTCAATTGAAGAACATCCTATTGCTATCAATATATCCTGGGCCCTCTCCCAGGTGTTATTCTAGTTATTTTACTCTCGCTCTAGTAACTTCAGTCAATGGGTAAAGACCAAAGACTGTTGTCAACTACTGATTCTTCCTGCGATGCTCAATACAATGCCTTCTAACCTTTCAGTCCCAGAAAAAAAAAAAAAGCTTCATAGATTTCCTATTCATCCACACTCAACGACACACATTCACCATATATAAAATCACAGAAAAGTATTCACTACATCATTTTAAGTAACATATATGAAGATATTAGAAGAAAAGCACGCATGTGAGTGACAACTGCGTGACTGCTAACTCTCCTGGTGCTATCAGACGTCACATGGTCTTTAAGGGCTTTATAAAACTGTTGATGCTATGTGAAGAGAACTTTTTTCCCTCTAGCTAAAACCGGATTCCTCTGTTGTTCACTACTAATACCACCACTACTTCTTTGAATGCACTCATACACCGATTATGTACATTATATATAACCTCAAAAAAAAAGTCTGTATATGTATACATAAACATACGCATATACATATACTAAGTAATTATTTTCTCACAATTATTTTCCCATTAGATGCACATTGCCTTCAGTAACTGGGCTTCCACCTTTCTTCTATGTTTAGTCAAGTCATAAACCGATAAAGGAAGAACAATTCATGAAACAGGCAAAGGAGAAAAAGCTGAAGTACAGAGCGTGACTGTCAGGAAGAGGAAATGCAGCGTAACAGCTATTGAAACAACATCCAGCTATAGCTCTAAAAATGGTGTTTCTAGTTGGCTACAGATTTAAGACAGCTATATATTTAAAGTTCAAATCCATAAGTT